GACGTGTCGCCTGGTGAGTAGTTTTCCCAGTGAATTACTTCTTCATTCTTTCATGGTCCACCTGAAAGAGGAAGGGGCAAGCTACTACATGGCAGGACTCAGTGGTGGATTAGATTCGATGGAACAGAAGAGGGTTCAAAAAAACGAAACTGAGAGAAGTTAACGACTTTCTAGCGGATACAAAAATCCTATCGAGGAAGCACAAATAATGTGATTCTCAATTTTTTTGTTGAATTGTATTAGTTTCATCAATGGCTAGTTTATGAAGTTAACTGGTTTCAAAGACTTGATTGTGTCATAACAGTGGTGCTGATAACCTTGAGGAGAGGAGTTCAAGCTTAAATTAGAGGATTTTGTAAAAATCAGCCATAATAAGCATAATGATTACTGCATTTGAAGTTGGCTCACCCACGCAAGAAGTCCTTCACCTTATAGGCAATCCGAAAAATTTTGTGCGCTTCCAATGGCGTCTCTGCGACCTTGCAAATGAGTGCCTCAGAAGCACGGAAAGTCCTGAGTCTGCTCTCTTATAACTGTCGATCTAATTTACTTGGCGCTTTGCTATCTTATGTTTCGATTTTCCATATTTTACGCGTTTGACGCACATGTAGTAAAGCGAATCAAGCCATTTCACTCTTGTCTGAATGACTCCAATTTTCGTGGTTTTCCACGAACTATTCCATTGAAAGGCGTAGATAGTGTAGTAGCAGTGAAACGCTTAACACGCGCGGCGTCGAATCCCGGCTCGGCTCCCATCCACGCCATCCACGCTTTCTACCCTCGAAGGATGTGAATTGTTAGCAGACTATTGTCGAAGAATTTGTGCATTGGGTGATCCTCGCAAATCACTGTACAGGAAACAAATCACTGAATAAGGCACTGCGATTCCGGACAAAAGGAAATCTTGCATGCCACGTCTAGAAGCCAATGATCAACAGGAAAAATTTGTCCCTCCATATAGCTTACATAGGTGGCAGTATGCTTCGAAGCTACTCTTATAATTATGTGAAGATTAAAATTATGTTGTGACGTATGTGAACCGGTTTCACCTCAGAACACTTCAGACCCTCTCCTGACGTATTTCATAGTAGCGGTTATAACTATCCAGTGGTTCACACAACTCTTTGTACTGCTGGTTCTTTCGGTCATTCATGCCTTGGCCGTCTTCACTCCGACTCAATTCCGCACCTTCTCTTCTGGGAACATACAAGTAATCAATGCAGTCATTATGCTTGCTGTTCTTCTATTGACAGGTTAGATTTCTACTTGATGTTACTTTTACCTTGTCTTCTTTTCTGAAGTGCACATAGATAGACACTAAGAGTTCTTCTGATGTCCTAAGGCTCCTCAAAAGAAACTTGTTTTTTAACAAGCCTGATAGTTTTGTTTTCTCAGTGCCAAATCTTACACCCTGCTGTGGTTACCACTACTCTACTGAAGGTTATTACTGGAGCTGGGACTTCGGAAAACCATATACTTACATATATGTGAGAGGCAATCTGGTTTTACAGGTTAGTGGAAGTTTTCGGATAATTGATCTAAAGGTTCAGTAAATGCAGATTTTGAGAGCGCAGTCAGGTCTACAATTAATTTTTTCACTAGTACATCCTTCCCATTTGACACGATAAAAAGAAGAAAATCGTGAGTGGGGAGACAGACTGGTAGGTCTGACTCCACCCACATAATCAACATTTGACGCGTTTCCAGAATGAATGGTCAGAAATAAATGAGTTATTCACAGCAACTGGTGAAGTCTGAGCGAGGTGAAAAGTAGCTCTTTTTCATTGTCTGTTCAAAGCGCACAGCGATTGTAATCAGAAACCTCAGAGCGTTCAAAGCCCTGTAGAGAAAAGAGCCTCCTATCTCAGCCATTCCTGTCCATTTTTTAATATTTTTGAATTGAGATTGAGTTGTGCATCGATCCTATTGGCAACATTTTATAAACTAATGAAACGCGGTCGGCTCTTGGAAGATAGCTCATTCTGGTTTTTGGTGCTAAACCTACATCTAGCCTTGCACCGCTCAGCGTTACCCTTTCCTCTTTGCAAGAAATTATCAGTTTCCAAAGAGTAAAGGTGGTGTAGTGGCAAAGGAGCTGGCTCACCAAGGGCGATTCAGAGGTAAACATCGGATGTTCTCCCATCCACCCCGGAGGTCTCTCTTTTTTTGGGATTGGTAAATTGGTAGCAGACGCATCTGGGGCAGAGGGGATAAGGACGTTAACCTGTGGATGGGCGACACGCAAAGTTCGTATGATATTATCACTGCATGTCGTATATATTTGAGGCTGCTGAGATGCTGATGGAAGTAGAATGTACAGCGCACTAAAAACAGAGATTCATCACTGGCGAAGATCTCCTATCCACGGTCATCATGTGTTTCCCATCAGCAGGCCAAGAATGATCGACGTTGATCACGCGACAGCAATCTACAAGGATCACTGCCAGGCTTTCTCCTAGCGTTACTCTTGCCCGTAGCGGGTCCGCTTTTCCTATGAGATGTCACCACTTTCTCGTATCTAAGGGATCATCAGCCGTGGCCTTCACTTCAGCAACGCCCTTATTAATGACGTGCCTTCCTACTCACTTCTTGCCGGGCTTCTTCGAGGCTTCGTCGTTCAGGGCTTTCCTTTTCCTATGAAATGCGAGTGTACTTGTTAGTTTCTGTCTCTATCCAGCCTTGTACTGATTTCATTTTCACTCCTTTTCAAAAGGAGGTGCCAATCGTTTGTGCGGGTAAAGTGTCACCTCAGAAAGGAGAAGAAGATTTATTGCGGCTTCGTGAGCTGGAAGACCATTATGTCGCTGCGCCAAAACGGATTGTCGCCGAGTACTGGCAGGCCTTGTAATTTTTGCTGCACCATCTGTTCTCCTCTACCTCTTTGCTTATCACTTTCCGTTTCATTCTTCCTGATTCACAGTATCCTCTATAATTCACCATGCTACGGTGATTTCCTTGAGTTTCCTCACTTACTCTTGGGTGCCGGAACTATTCCAGAGAGAGAGAGCGGAATAATAACCGCGTGTTGAGACTTTCTCCGCGCTTCCCAAATATAGAGAAATTTGAATGCACTCCCATTCATTCAGAAGACTATACTAAGCTCAGATAGCTTTTACTTCAATGACCTTCCTTCTAATTCTTTCACAGGGAGTGTGCGCGATCACAGTGATTTGTGTTGATGTTATGATCGTATATAGACTTCGCAAAATTCGCATCCGATTGACAGGGCCGAATACGAAGGTCTTTACAACAGCGTCAGTGTCACAATCAGTAAGTGTTCCCCATTATTTAACGTTTAATACTTTGTTCTTCATATTTATGATTCATCCAGTCTTTGCGCGAACGAAAGTTCAGCGCACGTTGGGCGTAAGCGTGGAGGCAATCAACAGTTGGGTTTCATGCACTTTTGTTTCCTATTTTTCCTGGGAATGAAGAGCGCTGCATTAACTTTCTTTGTGGAATGCCAGCTAATTGGCCTTACTAAGCCTCTTATACCGTTAGACGTTAACCGCGTCTTCACAAATTACAGCATAAAGTGCATTAGTTTAGCCATCTGTCCAGGAAGCGCATCTCAGCAGTGAAATGCAACTTGCCGTCAACTACATGTTACTGAGCGCCTGCTTCTTGGTTAAGACAACATTCTTTAACCTGAACATGTAAGTTCATAAACGACACTGTTAATTCTTGTTAAAAACAGAAGTAGAAGGCCATTGAAAGGTGAAGCAAAACATGGAAACAAGATCTCATTGAAGGCTACAACGATAAGCTTTACTGAACCCATGCGTGTATTGTATTGACTGTCCTTCAGAAATCTGTTCCACCATTGCAAATTCCAAGACATGCGGATCAGAACGGAGCGATAACTTATTTACAAGTGATGACAAAGTGGAAGTGCCCATCAAAAAACTCAACCAAAGTCTGCTCAATTTTCAGCATTGACCAAGTGGACCAGATACCACGTGGAAAGGTAACGAGTGGACATAGAGCCTACCAGCTGTAAAAGAGCGGAACTAGGCGCAGCTATAGTGTCGCTACGTAGGCGGAACCCTTTCGAAGAAGAGTCATCTGAATTAAATGTTAAGGTTCTGTCGTTATTACTGTGTTTCTCAAAGTGGGACAATGATGAGGTTGTGGACCTTGTTCATCACTGGCGTGCTGGGGAATCCGTCTAGTAATCGTGAAATGTGTCGTTGAGTCTTTTATGAGGTAACATGTTCCGTGTTCTAATCATTTGCTTTTAGGGATGCTTTCCTATACGGCTTTCTAACGAAACTCTCCTACATCCTCAATCTTCGCTAAATGGTCGGTCTATATCCTTGGCAATGAGTCCATAAGAAGAAAACTTCTATCACTGCTTAGATGTGGCAAAGGCAATGTCTCAACAAGCACATCCCATGTAGCTTCATATGTGAATAGTCAGAAAGTATTCCAAGGAAGATCAGTTATAAGGGAGTTCAATGATGCGACTAGAAAATTATGATATTTTTTGAAGCGCAAAATTTCGATCCGATATTACGACCACGCGGTCGATCTTAAAAGACCTAAAATGTTTCAAAGAGATTGTTTCGTAACCTACCAGACTAGGCATCCTATTCTGCTGCACTACTGCAGGAATGAGGCGAATCGAAGCGTGTAATCGAAGTGGAAACTTGTCGTGATGCTGTGTAAGGGGAAGTAAGTTAGTTTTTCATCAGAACTCCCACAGTTTTAAAATGGTGAATCTATCCATTATCGTCGAGTTAAGACCCTTCACTATTCACCAGATCTGAAGCACCTGCATCATTTTCAAAGTTGGTTCACTCGCGGGCAACACTGTTGCTCTGTAGGAAA